TATGGATATGTTATGATGTATGTACTTAGAGGGCTCAGTTTGCATGTTTGGTAAGAATGGGCAAGTAAGACAAGTGATCTTAGTAAGATGATAGCATTAGTTAGGAAAAAATTAGTTTTGTTTCTCTTTAGCAGTGTGATTGTACAGTAATTTAAAAGTTATTTTCCTTGGAAGATAGCTAAAGGAGGAAAGCGGGAGTGGCAATAGAAAGGAATGGGGAAAGGGCATGAGATAAGACCGTGTTTGTTTTTATGTAGTTATGGTATATGTCAACACTAAAGTATTAATAAGTGTATACTATATTCAGATACTGACAATAGGTAACACCTATTGGCTAGGTATTAGAGATAGCTATGAAAGATCAAATCTCTTGTATCATTTTCTTGGTGATGACAGAAGTTAGTCAGTGCACATGTGGTGTATAGAATTTAAACTACTAAGTACTGCAAAGCAAATAAAATAGTGACTATAGAGTCAAAGTGGAGGTGTTAGTGACTGACTCAGTAACTTTCACTAGGGCAATTAGGATAGACCTCTTTGAGGAAGTAAATTGGAGCAAAGACCTGATTGATGAGAAAGAGAGAACTTAATGAAAACCTGATTGGTAGGAAAAGGAGAACTTAATGAAGATCTGGACAAAGTGCATTCTAAGTAAAAAGTAGAAGGAACTCAACTAGTGCATAACCTGGAAACAAACTTGGAAGATTTCAGGGTCAGAAAGTCACCCAGTGTGGTAGGAAGTGAGATCCTTGGTGTCATCAACTGAGATAAAGTTTATATTTATTTAGTTGCAGTGGGAAATCACTGGATAGTTTTAAGTAAATAGGTGATATGGTCTGGTTTTATGTTTTGGAAAAGAGCCTTTGACTGGGTGTGACGGCTCGTGTGTGTAAACCCAGCACTTTGGGAGACCAAGGCAGGAGAATCACGTGAGGCCAGGAGTTCAAGACCAGCTTAGGTAACATAGCAAGACTTTGTCTCTACAATACGAAAAAAAGAAGAAAGAAAAAAAGGTTAATAAAAAAAATAAACTTTAAAAAGAAATGAGGAATAGGGACTAAGGATGGAGGCAAATAACTCAGTTAAGATATTGTGGTTATACCATTGAAAAGATTATAGCTCAGATTAGGACTGTAGCTGTTGAAACCATGAGAAATGGTTGAATTTGGGATCTATGTTGAATGTAGAATTGACCTAAATTGTTTTTTTGTTTTTGTGTCGGAGTATAACTCTGTTGCTCAGGCTGGAGTGCAGTGGCACACTAATGGCCACCGCAGCCTCAACCTGCTGGGCTTGGGTGATCTTTCTGTCTCAGCCTTCCAAGTAGCTGGAACCACAGGTATGCACCAACACACCCGGCTAATTTTTGATTTATTGTAGAGATGAGGTCTCGCCATGTTGCTCAGGCTGATCTCGAATCCCTGAGTTCAGGCACTCCTCTCACCTCTGCCTCCCAAAGTGCTGGGATTACAGGCTTGAGCCACTACGCCCAGCTGATATAAATTGTTGATAGGAGATTTGAGGGAAAGATGAATCAAAAATGATTTCTGGACTTTTTACTTCAGAAGCTGGATTGGTTTTAAAAATAGGTCCCAAATTTCTTTTGTAGGTTTTGTGTGTGTTTCCTCAATGGATTCTGAATGTTATGAAGATGATTTGACATTTTGTACATACGATAAGCTTAGTTAACTGAAGGCTATCCTTATTTTTCTCAAAATATTGTGTAGTGTAGAATACATAAGTGCATGGGAAACTTGCCTTTTCCCCCAAAAAGCGCAGACTGTATTATATGTGTTGTTGGAAAAATAAAAGTATTTAAGAGCTAGTTTAGCTATTTCCTTTTATATAATTCTTTTTTTTTTTATTTCTTAGAATTATCTTTAATAAAGACAACAACTCTGCTTTGAAAATTTTAACTGGGATTTCCCAGAAGCCCCAAATACTTCAAGGACCTAGGATCTTGCTCTGAGTATCTGCCTTGCCTTTTATATATCTGGGCCAATATAGGAGGCTGAGCCACTTGCCAGCCTAGGGACACACCGTTTTGGCAATGTTTGCTTTGTTGTGGATACAGTGCTGTTTGTCAGGCCCTAAGGTAGGGAAGGCCATAATTATATCTCATCTTTCTTGCCCCTTCATTTCTGAAATTCCTATGATTGTTTACAGACAAATTATTAGAATTTATCACTGAACAGATTGAGAGTCTTTGGTCCCTACTCTTTTGATACTTCATTGAATGTAAAGAAAAATGTTAGGGTAGTACTTTGTTTTTTAGAAAGTATATATTGATATGACTATTTATTTACTTTATAAATATAAAACTTTTCACAATTTTGAGATTTATTAGTGTTTTAAAGTTGGACTTCCTGTGTCAGGTTTTATAGTTGAATGTTTTTTTCTCAGTCGTGATCTAGTTCTTATTTCTTGTTTGACAGAAATTAAGCATTTGGAAATAATTGGAAAAGCCATTAAAATGGTATACATTAAGTATTTTTGCTGTACACTTGGAAGTATATTTCATCAAGTGTTTGCTTATTTTTGAAAATCAATTCAGTATTCTTACTTCTGAACTTAATAGGGCAGTTAATAAAATATAAAATTAATTTTAACTGCTAAAAATGATGGTGCTAAACATTGCCTTGAACATGATATACAGTACATAAAATAATCTTTTATTTAAATATTTCTTTTTAAATAAAATTTGGTCACTTGAGTTTGTATAGTTTCTCATAATTCAGCATACTTTAAAAAAGCATTTTTAAAAATATAAAACATTAGGATATTTTTTAAGTAAAAAGATACAATACGATTTATAGATAGATTTATATTAATTTAAATATTTTCTAGAGACCAGTTATCTAATTGTGTCACACAATCATAGCTTAAGACACTTGAAATGTTTTAGAAACCAACCGTCATAATTTTCATAAACTTTGTTCTCTCACCTAACTAATTCACGTATGCTGCCTGAAGTTATAGGGCTATATACATTAAGGTGCCAGCCATATGCCCAGCATTGTTCTAAGCTTTGTGTGTGGAGTTCATAAATAAAGAATGATATGAGAGGTCTTTTGACTTTCTGGGAAGATAGAAAATATAGAGAGTGCAAGACACTGGTAAATATAATGTAAATTTAAGAATGAAGATAAATTTATCATTAGAGTTTAGACTTTATGGAAGTTTAATGTCATGAATTATAGAACTTGAATGAGAAAGATAGGGGAGGAATTTCAAATTTAAAAGAAGTTAAGATGTAAAGAAGTGAGTGTATTTTTAAAGAATGATGTTCAGCTTAGACTGGCTAAAGTTTAAAAGACTTTCTCATTATGTGAGGATAAGTGATGCCAGTAAGCAAACAAACATAATGAAATGTTAATGTTAGAAAAATCGAATCCTAATTTGCTATTTAAAATATTTATCTTAGACTATCTTCTTATTTTTCCCCACAATTTTTACCAAAGTCAGTTCGTTTTTTTTTTTTTCCAGCATGGGAGCACTATTATATAGTCCTATCTGTGATAATTCTGTAATACTCACATTAATAGCTTATAACACTAGTGCTTCAATTATTTGGTTAAATGTGACTGGGTGAGGGTAGAGTAGGGATCAGACGGATCTTATGCTGCCTGGAACTTCAGAGCTATAGTTAGCAAGAGGGACTTTGTTTCTAATTTTGTGCTCCTTTCCCTTCTTCCCTAAACCGGTCTGAGTCCAAGCCAACTTCAGGTAAATGGGCTTAGAATACAACCTTTTTCTGGAATTTCCTGTGATAGCCTTTGTATTTTGTGACTTGGAAAACATCTGGAAATAGAGAGGTTTAGAATTGATCTAAAGACATGTGATCACCCTGAAGTAAATGCTGTATCTACAGATGAATTGAAGAACTTCTGACTTCTTAGGACCCTCTTCATTCATGTGAATCAGCCAGAGTGTGGCCATTCTCTGAGGATGGAAAACACTTTCCCAGAGAAAATGTACTGTGATGGTAAAACTTGACCCTAATACCTTGACTAGATAATCTCTTCTATGGCAAATAAAGAGACTGCAGAAGGTGACAGGCGAATTATTTGATAAAGTACCATACCTATTTTTAGTGGTTCTTAGACCTCAACCGCTATAGTCTGCATTTCTATTCTTCCTTCCTTCCTTCCTTCCTTCCTTCCTTCCTTCCTTCCTTCCTTCCTTCCTTCCTTCCTTCCTTCCTTCCTTCCTTCCTTCTTTCCTTCCTTCCCTCCCTCCCTCCCTCCCGCCTTCCCTCCTTCCCTCCCTCTCTCCTTCCCTCCCTCCCTTCCTCCCTCCTTTCCTTCCTTTTTTTCTTGTCTTACTCTGTTCCCCAGACTGGAGTGCCACGGCACACTCGTGGCCATCCTAGCATCAACCTGCAGGGCTCAGGCGATCCTTCCGCCTCAGTCTCCCAAGTAGCTAGAACTACAGGCACGCGCTACCACGCCTGGCTAATTTTTTTATTTATTGTAGAGACAAGGTCTTGTCAAGTTGCCCGGGCTGGTCTCAAACCCACGGGCTCGGGCAATCCACTCGTCTCGGCTTCCCAAAGTGCTGGGATTACAGACTGAGCCACCGAGCCCAGCCTTTCTAGTCACATACCCAAGTGGGTCAAAATTAATTAAAAATTGCCTAGGATATGCTCCATTGAAAACTTGTGTTAGGTGGTCCTGGTTTGATATCTTGTCACTCAATAATTTGCAAGATTTTGTCAAAATCAGTCAGCCCTCTTTAAATCAATTAAGTCTTTAAAAGTTTTTATGGAAAGGAAAAATAGTACTCAACAGTTGAGTTGATATAAAGACCTTTTTGTGACCAAATTATAATTAATACCAGCCAACTACTTTTTATTTTTATAGTCATGTATTAAGGAAATGTTTCAAGGTTTTAATTTTGGATTATAGGATTACTTGGATAAACCAAAATAATATTTCCTAAGGTAATATCTCTTACTCCAACAAATGCTAACTCTAAAGAGTGCTTTCTGTGTTTTTTAGTCGGCCATATACTAACAAGGTCATCACTTTATGGTATCGTCCGCCTGAACTGCTACTGGGAGAAGAACGATACACACCAGCAATTGATGTATGGAGCTGTGGGTAAGATAGGTTTATTTACTGGTTTATGTTACATGAAACTTGGTGGTGAACTAAAATCAGATCATTTGGTAATGATGGATATTTTTTCCATTAGATGTATTCTTGGTGAACTCTTCACTAAAAAACCTATATTTCAAGCAAATCAGGAACTTGCACAACTAGAATTAATAAGGTAAGCTGTTGATTATAATATTTGTGGAGGTGGGGAAGGTGTCCTACTCCATAGGATATTTAAAATCTTCCAAGCTTGTCTTTTCAGGAGGAGAACAGCATGGTTCTCTTGAAGGCTAATAACTGCTAAATGGAGGAGAAACTAGAATGTAGGCACTTTGATATTTGTTCCAGTAAAATTAAGGATCAAAGTCCCTGGATCTTTTTGTGTGTGTGTGATTAAATCAGAGGACTTGAGGCCCCAAAGATAAGACTGGGAAGGAAGAGTAAATACGAGGTAGGAGAGAATAAATGGTAGACACTTTTAAAAAAATATGGCAGAAAGGAAGAATTAAAGTTTTGGGGTATTGTAAAAAAAAAAGTTACTCTATTTTAAATATACATATATGTTCATATGTATCTAGATATGTATGTATACACACTAAAAGGTATGCATCTGTCCACTACCATAGGTCTTCATTATTTGCAGCCTATCATAGAACCTAGCTCATAAGCAGTTACTCATATATGTTAGTCACCTTTCTCTTCATCTTAAATTTTAAATGAAATATTTAAAAGAGCTTTGGTTTCATATATAAATAATATATTTGGTTTCATATATAAATCAACTTAAAGATTTCTATGGAAGTTTCAAAATATAGATGAAGTCTTTTGGGAAAGATGCTGGTAGGATTCACAGATTTACAGAATTTTACTTTTCCAACTGAACAAAAATTATCAACAAATAGTAACCAAAGAAGGATCCCAACTTCATCTTCTAAATTGTGAAAAGTTTCACCTATAAATAGACAACTTAAATCAAACTAAAAGAAGATCCTGAGAAATGACAAGTATTCCCTTTTTGGGGGAGATAATTACAGTTAAGGTGTGACCAAAATACAGAAAAAACAAACTCAAAAAATGTTATTGTACTTTTTGGGGGTTGGGTCAGGTTTTTGCTATAGGGTATAGCTGGGAAAGATGAGTGCCCCAGTTAGATCTTACCTCTTCTCTGGGGATACCTTGGTATCATCACAAATACCCAAGCCAGAAACTAGCACTGCTTCAACTCCAGAGCAGCCAGTTGCTTCATCTTAAAAACACAGAACCAGTTATGTCCAGAATTGATTTAGGGGGTCTAAGCACAAAACTTTTAACAAAATTGCAGAGAGAGAGAAGGAGAGAAAAGGGAGAGGGGAAAGGAGTTCACCAGAAACATAGGGAACTTTTATCTTACCTTTTTTATTGTGTGACAGGTAAAGAGGATCAAAAGGAACTGATACTCCTAGACCTTTCAATGCTAATTGGACATTTATATAAAAGTTAGTTATATATTAGTAAAAAAAAAAAAAAAGAGGAAATTTCAAAACTTTGAAATACTATAGGCTACATTCACTAAATAAAACTAGAAATTAATGTAAAAATGGAAGCAACAGTCAATTGCCTAAAAATGTTAAATATGTTAAAAATAATTCTTAGAGGAATCACACTTTAGAACATCTAGTTTTAAAAAGAGTGGCAAATTAGGTATAAAAACCCGTGGGCTAAATCTGTGCTTAGGAGAAAATCACAACCTTAAATATATTACTAAACAAGGAAAGAAAAATAATTAAGCATTCAACTAATAAGCTGAAAAAAAAACACCCCAAAACAACAACAATGGAAAACAGAAAATAAACCTAGGGAATAAAAAACTGATAATGAATTATAATACAAAAATGATAGAATTTATGAATAAATGTATAGTATGGTCTTGAGTTTATTTATACAAATTATATTTATTATATTTATTTATACATTAATTAACTTAATATGAAAAGACCATAAAGAAATTAAATGAAATGAAGATTATAAGATATAAACTGACCTCAGATAGAAGGAAAATCAAAATAATTATAACTACTTAATTCACCAAAATTTACCCTAAAACACCTTAGAAAACCCAAATGGAGGACGTAATGCTGTTAGAGCATTCCTCTAAAGAAACAGACCCCAACATTTTCATAGGCAAATTCTTTCAGAAACCAACAATTGTAATGTTCTTTATTCCAAAACATGAGGGAAATGCATAGAAGCTTTCCCATACAACCCTCTCATGAACAGTCTTATTCGAATTTTTTTTTTTGAGTTAGAGTCTTACTCTGTTGCCCAGACTGGAGTGCAGTGGCCGCTCCCGGCCACTGCAGCCTCCACCTGCTGGGTTCCAGCCATCCTTTCGCCTCAGCCTTCCAAGTAGCTGGAACTACAGGCATGCGCTACCACACCCGGCTAATTTTTTGATTTATTGTAGAGATGAGGTCTCACCAAGTTGCCCAGGTGGTTCTCGAACCCGCGGGCTCAGGCAGTCCACTCACCTCAGCCTCCCAAGGCGCAGGATTACAGGCTGAGCCACCAAACCTGGCTCAGTCCATTAGACTAATTGATGCTCTCCATTTCCTGTGAAAATAAATACTAACTTGATAACATGGCAACTGGATGTTTGTAGCTAGTAGGCTACCAACTTCTAGTAAGACTGTGTATTTACCCCACCAGCTGAAGAGTATACTGAACAAGAGATGGTTGTTAGTTTCCAGTTTTTATGATGACTTTTTACTTTTGGACAATATAGACAAAGGCAGTGCTTTGCAAAAATTTTAAAGCATTGTTGTCTAATTGGGATGAGCGAGTAATTATATATGTTACAAATAAAAGTCATAAAAATCTGGAAGGATTCAGCATTCAGATTTATGAATTTATTTAAAGAAACCAAAACTAATGTATTATGGGTATGGTTTGTACAAGAAAGCTAATTAAGAATTCCATTCATTGAATCCTCTTCAAAGAGAAACCCTTAGGATGGTGGCTCACCCCTGTAATCTCAGTACTTTGGGAGGCAGAGGTGAGAGGATTGCCTGAACCTAGGGGTTAAGCCTAGGCAGCATGGAGAGATCTCGTCTTTAAAGTTAAAAAGTAGCTGAGTGTAATGGCCCATGCCTCTAGTTCTAGCTACTTGGAAGGCTGAGGTAGAAGGATTGTCCAAGCCCAGCAGGTCAAGGCTGTGGTGGCTATGAGCAAACCACCTCGCTTTAGCCTGGGCAACAGGACGAGACATCGACAGAGAGAGAGAGAGAGAGAGAGGGGGGAGAGAGAGAGAGAGAGAGACAGCGAGAGAGAGAGAGAGAGAGAGAGAGAGAGAGAGAGAGAGAGAGAGAGAGAGAGAGAGAGAGAGAAAAGAATAAATATACATTTATAAATTTTCCATTAGCATAAATGTTTATCTTATCTGTGTGTCTTAATGATTCCTTTTTTTTCCTTTGCACTGTAACTTGGGCTTTATGTTTCTTTCTAGCTCATGTTTTCATTTAATCAACCAGCTGTTGGTCCTGATTGTATTGAGTACTAGGGTTTCTATTAATGATAATTAACATCTATTTAGTTTATGCACAATGCCACTGTTATTCTATGAGATACTCACTTGCAGAATTTCAGTTAAACTTCATGACAACCCTATGTCATCTTTTTATAGTTAAGAAAATTGAATTACAGAGGTGAAAAATTGTCTAGGGTCATATAAGTAGTGGTACTTAGTGATAAAACTAAGATTTAAATGTACACGGTGTTACCATGGAATCTAAACTTTTAGCCATTACTCTATACTATATAGGAAGTAAAACTTCCTTGAGCCTTTTACAAAGTCATTATGGCAGAAATACCAATACTTGAGACAGTATGAAAAATTTCACAAGATATTAATACAAAAATTCTATGAGAGTAGAATTAGTAAGTAGTATACAACTTTTCATTAAACAGTTAACTTGCAGAAAATGATGATAGTAGGTAACATTGTATTACAGGTTAAGGAAGATATCTCCCATAAAGTGACATTTGAACAGAGATCTGAATGAAGTGAAGAAACAGCAAAGTAATAAAGACCTGAGACATAAGTACACTTGGTTTATTTTATGAATATGTTGTCAATGAGCCATATGGGGGGGAAAAGCTTAGTTCATCTATTTAATAGCATACTGTAGTTATTGAAAAGGACATAGTTGATCTGGAGATATTGACATGACATGGAAAAGCGACATGAAAAGAGCAGTTTTACAAAAGGCTATATTTAGCTTCATCCCACATAGGTAAAACAAATACATCAAAGCTCAAATTCTTAATCTGAACATGAACTTTTGAGAAGGCTAGAGAGGGTAAAATTTTAGTTTCCAGTTCATATATTTCAGCATGCTATTGTTACTAAGACATTTATGATTTTATATTATAAAAAAGTGGTTCAAGTTTGATCCTAGAAGCACTCATTTTTTAAAAACATAAAATAAGAGGAAATTTCTAATAAAAGAATCAAGCATGAGTATAATAAGACAAAAGTAAATTGAAAGGGATATGGGCTTTGGAATCTATAGACCTGGGTTCTGATGCCAGCTCAGCTACTTCCTGCTCTTGTGACTTAGGGTAAGTTCCATAATGCTCTAAGTTTGTTTTTTCACAAGGAAAACAAGACTAATAACATGCTTGAGGTTGTAAGAATTAAGTAAATGTAAGTTTCCTAGTACATGCTTCTCTCCCTCACCTTATTTGTGGTGTTGCTTGGTTCAGGAATGATGAGATCTAGAGTCAGTATTGTACAAGTACATGTAAAACTGATCAAGAGTGGGAATATGAATAAGAATCTTTTTGTTGTTGTTGTTTGTTTTTAAAGCTATTTAAAAAAATTTCCTTCCTTCCTTCCTTCCTTCCTTCCTTCCTTCCTTCCTTCCTTCCTTCCTTCCTTCCTTCCTTCCTTCCTTCCTTCCTTCTT